ATTAAAGAGCTGATGTTTGGAAACGGACACGCCTACGAACCTCATCTGCTGCGGACTTGCCCTCATCTTGTGGTGGTGGGCAGTTAACAAATGAACAAGCCAAGGGCAAGAGAAGCTGCGGCACAGGGTGACCAGCAGCCAGTCACGACAGAAGGCAGGTGGGTCCCGGGTCCCGCGTTAGCGGGGGACAATGGGACACCCTCAGCGGGAAGCCCCTCACCTGTGTGAGAAGAAGATGCCTCTGCGCAGGAAGCGGTGGGGTTTCTGGCCAGTGGCTCGCTCTATTCGGTTTATCAGCTCCTTGTCGATTTTACTGCTTCCGAACCGAACTGGAAAACAAAGGGAAGAGAGGACAGGTAACTACCTGGGGCGGTGGGGCGCGCTGGGGTCAGAGGCCGCTGGATGAGGACCCAGCCACGCGGGCACGCTGAGACATGGCCCTGCTCCCCGCTCCGCCAGCACAAGGGCAGCATCCTGCACATCAACCATGATGGCGAAACAGGAAGCCAACCGCAGGGTAAAATGCTGCTTGTCGGAGGCTGAATGAATTCTGATGGAAACACCCAGAGTGTATCCTAGCTGGCACCTCTGGATAAACACACACGCGGTTATTCCTAAGACGTATGTGTACCGACAACAACGATTTTAAGTATCATTTAACTGTTGAACATTTCTGGGAAATGGTTTTGACCTAAGTGAAAGTATCTTAGTCTCTGTTTCTCTTTGGCAATCATTCCCGATGGGCGGGAGGACCCAGCCTTCAGGAAGGGGTGCCCTGCGACTCGGGCTGGGGAGAAATGCCCCCCGCAGCAGCCTCCCAGTCCCAGCAGACCTGCCGCTGGCTGCCGTGGCCGCTCAGTGAAAAGCAGTGCACGGAGACGCCCAGTTCACGGACCATCCAAGTCCCAAACTTCTCAGCGAGATGAAAAAGCTCCCACTAGAGGGCCCTCCCTGGTGGTGCCATGGGTTAAAGCGCAGCACGAGTTCGAACCCCGGCCAGGGAGCTGACCCACATGGCGTGGCAGACCTCGCCTGTCTCCCCACTGCTCCCCTCAGCAGTGTGTTTCACTTGAGCTGCCAGTTCTGCTCTCTGTTGTGACTCTGGTGAATCCTCTCACCCTCCACACCCTGTACCCCAGCTCTGTATGCATAAATAAATTAATTAAAAAAAAAAAAAAGCTCCTACTAGGCCCTCTATTGTCTCCCAGCACCTTGAAATAATTACTGCATTCCCATTTGAGTTAGAAATGATCCTTTGGGGACAGAACGCACCACCCAAAGATTTTAGGGTCTTATTTCTCTGGGCACAGTCGCTTGATTGGACTTGTGGTTACTTCAAAATCACAGAGGAGCCGACTAAGAAGCATCACCTGTAAAAACTGAGACTTTTCCCAGAACCTACCAATGAGCTTGTCATAGTCAATGCCCTTTGCGCTGCTGGTCTGCACCGTCCACGGGTCCACAAAATCCTCTTCGTCCCCAGGGCTGTCCCCTGCATTTGCCGGCTGCCCCGGAGGGCAGTCGGCTTTGTACTCCTCCCCTGTGGCGGCTTTGTAGCTTGTTTTCAACGATAACAGCATTTTCACTGCAGAGTCAATTTCCTCCTGCACAAGGGAAGTGGAGGAAGGGGAGGGTTACGAGCATGCAGGCAGGCAGGCGCACGAGCCTGCACACACCACTTCGCTGGTCGCACTGTCCTGCAGGAGCCCTGCAGTTCTGTGGACTCCACCCCTACTCCAGTCACTGAAACTACAACTCCCAGCAATACCACAGAGAACTGCAAGGACCCAAGGGCTAACGCAGGCATCCTGGGACTTCTGGGGATATTTAAGGAGCCATGTGAGATGCTCTCTCTCTCTCTCTGAGCCATGTGGCTGGTCCCTGGCTCTTGATGAGCTTTCAGTGTGTTATTGGGGTTCCAAGTCAGCGGCGCGCCCTGTCCCCCTCCTCTTCATACCATACTTAGACTCGCAGAGATGGACGGATGGACGGATGGACAGGCAACCCCAAGCAGCAGGACTGTAAAAGTAGCAAAATCCACAGAGACGGGACACATCCTGCTTCAGCTGGGCTGCAGTTTCTCTCCGGCTGGCTGGCTGCAGCCAGGGGCTCTGCCACTGTCTCCCGCCCCCCACTCAGGGGCAGCTGTGGTTCCCAGTGGGACTGACCTTGCCTGTTTTCCTCCTCGCAAGCTAAGGTGGACCAGGACACAATGAAGAGAATTAAAGAGCTGATGTTTGGAAACGGACACGCCTGACTATAAGCGGCCCTTCTGTGTGGTCCACGGGCACAGCTCAAGGGAGCCCTGGGAGGGCAGAGGCGGCCCCTGGGGCCTGAGGCATCACCAGGCGCTTTTACCATGACAGCTCAGGGTCAGACGCACATCTGTTTCTGGATTCTCACTGCTGAAGGCCAGGTGACCTGGAGCCTCTGGCTGGGTGTCAGCCGAGACCCGAGTCTGCAAGCACGCCCAGGGGGCGGCTCTCAACTGCGTTGTGCTGCTCGTCCGCTAAAGCTGCTCCGGGACGGCAGCCACCAAGAACCGTAACTAGAGATCCCACCACGTGTTACTCAGACTTAATGTAACGGGCAAAAATATCGCTGTCAGGTCCCAAAATGGGCTCAGAGAGTAAATGGCAACATTCCAGGCCTTCGGTTGTTTAAGGTTCGCGCTGAGCCCGACCTGCCCTAGTGAGCTTCTCTGCAGGATTACAGGTCATGGCTTGCCGGGGGTCCACCGGGTGGGTGTGAGTTGGCTGACACCTGGTGAGGAGGCACGAGGCGGCTTCTGAGGAGATGGCACTGAGAGGGGGGCTGGGGCGAAGCAGTGGGGTGACAAGCAGCTCTGCGCTCCGGAGAGACGCAGCCCTCTGCTAGCTCAGCGGAGCTCTTCAGAGGTACAGCTGCAAGAGGACAAAGGGAGCGGGGAGGGAGCTGCGTCCAGAGCTGACAAGAACTGGCAGCTCACTGGGCAGGTGGAGGGCAGAAGCCGAGGCATCGTGGAAAGGCTGGGCGTGGCTGGGCGCATTCTGCACTGCACCAGGCTGGCGCGCGGCCCGGGCACTTCCAGCAGTGGGCGCAAGTGGCTCCTGCCAGGAGTGCTGGTGGACAGTCTGTGTAAGAAGCTGTAGTTCAGACTGAGTGCCGGCCCTCCCGAGGGCTAGTGTGGGGAGCCGGTGACCCCACAGGGTCTGCGTTATGGACATGGGGCTCAGAGGACCACGCAGTCCAGCTCCCGGGGCAGGAAGCTGCTGACGCAGGCCGACCTGCTCCCTTGGGAGGGCACACCAGGGGAGAGCCTTGCCTGGGGGCCCTGCGAAATTCAGCAGAGAGGGCTAAGACCCGGCCCGAGGACACCCCACAAAGGGAGGTCTGGTTATCTCAGGGAGGGAGGCCCACTGCGACAGGCGCAGGCTCCCCATTGGCTTCTCGTGCGATCGCCTTGAAGATGAGAACCAGAGGAAACACGTTAGCTTGGAGGATCTGGAAGAAGGCAGAGAACGTGAGGAGACCTCGTTTGCTCCTCTCAGCGATGGCAGGACACTGCCGTGACCCAGGCACAGAGCGCCACGGGGCGGGCACTTGGGTCAAGGAGCCTTGGGAGTTCAAAATGATCGGCCACACAGAACTGGCAGGAGGGCCAGAAGCTGAGGAAATATGCCTGAGAGAGCAAAGAAATGGAAAGTATAAGGAAAAAAAAAAAAAAAAAAGAGGACCAGTCTGAGTAACAGAAACAAAATCTATGAAGAAAGAACAGGGAAAGGAGAAGAGGTCAGAGAAGTGACATAACTTCTGAGAACTAGAGGTCACCAGTTTCCGGGCTGAAGGAGCACTGCGGTCACCCGCAAGAAGGCTCAGAGCCCAGACCGAGAAGCGCCTGCAGGTTCCCAGAGAAAAAGCTGCGTCCGGCAAGGGCTCCGGGAACGATGTCCTTAGTGCCGTCCTCTTAGGCACTCTTGGGGCACTTGCCCTGGCAACTGCGGAGGGCAGCCTTGGGGGCGGGTGGCGAGGGGCCCAGCGCGAGGCAGGCCCCAGCCATAGTGAAGGCGCGAGGCGGTCCTGGGCACTCTCCAGCCTGCCCTTGGTGGCCGGCGACCGGTCAGCCCCGGAGGAGCCGGCCGCGGCGGGGAGAGCTGAGCGGCACGAGGAACCCCACGCAAGCACGGGGTAGGCAGGGGACGCCCTCCCACTGCACGCAGGGCCAGGGGGTCTGTGCGCCGGGGCGGCGCCAGCCGGTACCCCTCAGCGCCCTCGCAGGGAGCACAGAGGCTCCAAGCTCGCAGTCCTTGGGAGCAGGGGAGCAGCCTGCCGGTCAGAGACAGGCACCTGCCTCGCCGGAGGAGCGAGTGTGTGCTTGCGGGCGCGACGAGGTGGGGAGCAGTGGCTGTTTTGGGGTCTCTGGAGCCCCACGTGTCAACAGCACTGACCAGGAAGAAAATGAAGGCAACATTGTAGCAGAACGCTGTGGAAGAGGGCCTGAATCGGACAGCACAGCCCACGGATGTGAGCACTCGCAGAGTCTCCCAGGTCACGTACCTGTGACGCGTTCGTGGCTTTGAGGGACCTCACCACGTCCCCTTGGGAGGCGATGCTGTTGAACAGCTCCAGCGGGGAGCCGGCCTGCTTGCCGTCCACGCTTGTCATTTTCTGGAACCTCGGGGCTGGTGACTAGGGTTTCCGCCCGAAGATGTGCTCCGTGGGCCCGGCGACACTGCTGGGGAGAAGAGAGAGCAACAGAGCCTCGCTTTCCTGTTGTAAAAGGCCGTGGGTGTGATGGCGCAGAAGCACAGGCAGAAGTCCGGCACCATGGACAATGGCAGAAACTGCCGTGAAGAGTGAGGCTTAAGGCTACGGTTTGAGAGAGGCCAGGGAGGAGCCCCCCCGCCCCCAGCAAGCCTGCGCCTGCCCAGGCGTCCACCAGTGTTCCGGTACCTGGCCCCGTTTTGCTCAGGGAGCCAACACCCAGGCACTAAATGTTTGGCAAGCTGCTGCTTCCTCTTTATTTGAATTTCACCCCTCTTTATCTCGGCCTTGACCAGCCTTCCCCTGAGCAAACAGGTCCCGCCTGCCAATTTCTTGGTTCCCAGGGGCCAGCTTGCCACACACCTGGGAGGGTGCGCCTGCACACTAGGCGTCGTTTCCTGTTCACCTGCTCAGAGGAGGGCCCGGCACAAGCGCTCCAGAGTCCATGGCTCCCCTTTCTCAGGGCCCGCTTCCTCATCCCTCAAAATGGCTCCATCTGAAGGTGCTGCGGCCCCACGGACAAGTGGAGGGAGGCTGGCCGCCAGCAGGCCTGCGCAGGGGGCTCTAGCCCCCTACACGCTGCCTCACGTGGGAGTTACAGCAACTCTGACATAGATGAGTTATCGCCACTTCATAGAGGAGGAAACCGAGATGCTGTCGTGCCCAGGAGAACATGCCAGTTCCAGAGACAGTTTGGCCCCAGAGCCAAACTCTCAGCCATCCTCATCCAGTGACAGAGAGAACGGTCACGAGCCTCGGTGCAACGGCAGACAGGCTGCAGGCGGCAGACAGGCTACAGGCCGCCCACAGGGTTGCAGGGGTGCGCGCTGGGCACTGGGGCTGGGTGCGGCCTCTGCCCTGCTACACGGATCTCATTAACGATTTCTTTTTCTTTTAAAGATGAAAAAAATTTTTTTATTGATGCACACAAGTACTGGACTACAGGCCAGAGGTGCGAGGTGGGGGTGAGAGGATTCCCCAGGAAGAGTGGGGAGCAGAACAGGTGGATCCACTGAAATCTACTGCTGAGTGGATCAGCAGGGAGACAGGTGAGGCCTGCTGCGCCCTGTGGGCCACTCCCTGGTAGGGGATCAAACTCGTGCTGCAGTGGCTGCGGACAGTTTCACAGAGCTGCACTTTAACCCCCGCACCACCAGGAATTGCCCAGAGATGACTATTTCTTTAATCATTAAGAAAAATTCTAGTAACTCTCAGCCAAACAGTTTTAAGGAGTGACTGATTTACCCACCTCTCTAAAAGTCATGTAAAGCTGAACCACACCAACTTCAGGTGAGTCAATACAAGCCTAGTGCGAGAGCCAGTTTCTTGCTGACAACCACCCTGAGGCCCAGAAAGGGAGGGCGCTGAGCCTGCTAACAAAGCTCACAGTTTAGGGGGCCCGAAGTGCAGCCCCTCCCAACTAGCGCTAGAGAGGAGAAACAGCTTCCTGCCAGAACATGGCAAAGGATCAAACACCCACTTGGCTACTTTACACACCAACCGACACGCCCAGCACTCCAAAGCCGGCATTACAGGATGACCCGTGCACAGCGGCCACCGGCTGCTGGCTTGGGCCAGTCAGAACCACCTCCCAGGTCTGTGACAAGCAGTTGAGCCACAAGCTGATGCCCAAGGGCCCCCCAGCCCGTGCCCTCAGGCTGCCCCTGCCCAGCGTCTCACCGTCCGCTGCCGGCTACCTGCTCCTGCAAATCTCAGCTCCCCTGTGCAGCCTTTCCTGACCCCCGGGGCCAAGCCAGGGCCCCAAGCTCCACGGTGGTGGGCATGGGTCGTCACCTCAGTGGGGACCTCACGCCGACATCTTTCCACTGCGTGGTGGGAGCAGCATGGTGTCACTTACACACTCCCGGACCCGGCACACTCAGCCTGTCGGAGCGTTTGCTGAGAATGAAGCTCATAAGTCACCCAGTGCAACTTTTCCTCTCCGGTTCCATTTTCTGCTTCCTCGTAAGTGCTTGTTCGGTTTATAATGCTCCTGCCCTGCCCCTCGCCGACTGGCAGCCTCCAGACCCCGTGCTGAGCCTCTGAGATCTGGAGGGCCCGGTTGGTCCCGGGGTTCCCCAGGTCTCACACCACTAGTCTGGTTCCCTTACCTCTGGCTAACATCCACCCACCACCCTGGTTACTCTTGGGACCTCCCTTCGGTTTACCCCCGTCCTTCCAAAACAAGGTGGCTTCCTCAGCAAAGGGCACAGGTGGGAGCAGTGGGGTTCCGAAGCCTGTGAGGAGATACAGAGTCAAGGACGGAGTTAAGTCACCGTTACACATCCCTAGGGAGAGCGCCGGGTGGGGTAGCTGGGCAGGCCCCGCCTGGACAGGCAGGCTGCTCTTGCAGTAGTGCAGGACAGGGTGGAGGATCAGGAGATAAACGGGGTCTTCAATGAGGGGCCATGCTGTAGAAAAACATGTATCTTTAAATATCAAAAGCCCACTTAAGAAAGACCTGGTGACTACATCTGATGGCGGTAGCACAGGTGAGATTTCCCCATGCTCATGCTTTTGAGACACGTGCTGTCGTGTAGGAAATGCCCACAATGACCTCCTGTGTGTGTGTGCACGCGTGTGCATTGCAACTCCTTGAAGGATTAGAGGAGTCACTCTGGGCAGAGTGACTAGGAACAGGAAGAACAGAATAAGGACCCCTCTGGTGGCGCAGGGGGTTAAATCACAGCACTATGAAGCTATCTGCAGCCACCGCAGCACGAGTTTGATCCCGGCCAGGGAGTGACCTGCAGGGCGCAGCAGACCTCTCCTGTCTCCCTGCTGCCCCCCTCAGCAGTGGGTTTCAGTGGATCTGCCCATTCTGCTCCCCACTCTGTCTTTGGTGAATCCTCTCACCCCCCCCCCACACCTCTACCCCAATTCTTGTGTGCATAAATAAATCTTAAAAAAAAAAAAAGAAGAACAGAATCATCCATCACCTTTCTCATTCACACCTCCACTCACTGTTACTTACTGTGGGCATTTTTCCCTTTCTGTTCTCATCTAGTCAGCATCCTCCTTTCTTTCTTTCTTTTTTTTTTTAAAGACTTATTTATTTATACAGAACTGGGGTACAGGCCAGAGATGAGGAGGGTGAGAGGATTCACCAGAGACAGAGTGGGGAGCAGAACAGGCAGATCGATGAAGTACACTGCTGAGGGGAGCAGCGGGTGGGTCAGGAGAGGTCTGCCGCGCCATGTGGTCACCTCTGGGGCAGGCAGGAATTGAACTCATGCTGAAGTGGCTTTAGCTTCTTCGTGCTGTGCTTTAACCCACTGGGCTAGAAGGGAGGCCCTCCTTCTTTATTTCTTTGTTAACTATTGTAATTCATCTTAACCTCAGAGGTCTTCCTCTTAGCGTTCAGAACTTCTGAAATGCCACCAGTCTGCACACAGCGTGTGCACATTCCGAGAGGGAGCTCAGGTCTGAGCACTTTTGCAGAGGCTCTGAGATGGGAAGTTTAGGACCCACTAGTCTCCATGTTCACCGCAGCAGCTGCAACTAGGGCTGGGAATCTTTGTAAGAAAAGTTGTTTTACTAAATAACTACAACAATCTAAAATGGGGAATGAAGCTATAACCTGTGAGGTTACCCACCATCGCCCCAAACAAGTGCTCGGAGTGTAGAGAGCAAAGCAGCAGGCCCCACAGCAGCTCGCAGCCTCCTTCAGAGAGAAAGCCAAGAATGCTCTTCACAGTTAGTTCGCAATTTCTCATAAGCAACCTGAATCTCATGCTCATTTTGAAAGCTTCTATTGTTCTGGAAGAGCAGAACAGACACTTGAAGAAACAAGCACAGTAGGATGAAGAATGAAAAGAAGAGTCACAGGACTACACGAAAGCACATGACAAAAATGTGGGCGCACCCAAATCTACTCACTGAGAAAGTCAGAATATGGATTCTGCAGTCTGGGGGAAGAATGGGGAGCCCACTCTGGTGCCGATATGGGAAAAGCCGGGGCGCAGGGGCTCCTGGATGCTTGCAGGACCACCAGGGGAGGGATGCCACCCTACTAGCCTGGTCTCAGGATATGGGTGACTAAGGCCTTGGACTGTCAAGTTCCCAGAGAAAAACAAAGTGATTTGCTTAATGCAAAGAGTTCTTTACCCTTTCCACCTTGTAACAGACTTTCTTCTTTAAACACTGAGTGCTAAGTTTGTTGTCCCTTCCAGATAACAAAGGGAACATTATCTTCCGAGGCGAGGAAGACACTAGTTTATTTGGAGCCAGCATAAGGTATTTCTGAGGACTGCAATGAGAATGCTGTTATACTGGGCATGTAAGGCCTCATCAGTAAAAAATACGACAGCCAGACTGAGGTGCTGAATGCAACTACTCACCCAGGGAAGCTGGATTCCCTGAACTCTAGGTCAAGGGGATGAAGGGATGAAATGACATATAACAACTCTCTGATTCTGAGAGACCAGCCCTGACCCCCCAGTTTCCAGCACTTCGGTGACAGGCTGGTGGAAATACCATCACTAAGAGTGCGAAGGAAGCAGTACATACCAGGTCCTGGAGACACGGCTGGCCGCTGACCACGCTGGCAGTGAGTAACTCAGATTGCCCTGTGCGGCCAGGGTCTTTAATACCCTTTCCCTTTTTCTTTCAGTTTCCTTTTTAGGAAAGGCTCTTCCTTTTTGGTTTCCTATATTGCTTTCCGTTGCATTACTTGCACCTAGGCGTTTCTTATAAATCACCCAGTTTCTCAGAAGCACTAAAGCCGCTTGACCAACACCCTGGAGGAGAACGTCCAATCAGAGGTGGGCTGGGTGGAGACCAGTGAAACCTCTGCAGAAGAGAGATATTGGCCGGTCATTGCATCAGCCCAGCTCCTCAGCTGGCCTCTAAGTCACCTCCACGCCCTCTTTCCCTTTCCCCACCCTCAGCATCTATATGAATACTTTGTTTGCCAAGTCACGGGCGAAGGAGCAGATTGGAAACTCCCTGCGGTTTCCATCCAAGGGCAGGGCGTACGGGAAGACCCTAAACTCAGAGATCATAAAGACCTGGGCTCACTCAGCCCAGCTCGGTCGTTTAGGGTCACGACCGCGGAAGAGCCACGTGACTCCCCGCCTCACCCAGGTTTCCTCCTCCGAGAAATGGGCACGAAGGCCCTCCTAACTGCCGCGCGGGGGGCTGTGTCACATCACAGGCCAGGCCCCTCGTCCGGGCGGACACGCATGCAAAGTGGGGGCCTTTCCCTGGGCAAGGGGAGAGATGGGCGGCGCCGCAGGCTCGGTACCGGCTGGAGTGGGGCTCCGCGGGGTCCGCGGCGTCGGGAGGCAGGGGCGCGAAAGGCGCCCCTCGGGAAGCCTGAACCCGGCGGCAGCGAGCCGGCCTCTGAGGAGGCTACTCCGCACCCGGTGGTACGCGCGCGCCCGGCCTTCCTCCGGGTTTCACCCCCTAACTCACCTAGCCCCGCCGGATCTGTCAGCACCGCCCGTTCAGCCTCCTCGGCGTCCGTGGAAACGCCGTCCGGCCGGAGTGACTTCCGGTTAGGCTGCGCTCTCATTGGCTGTGCAGGTGGGGGCGGGGCGGAGAACGTCGCTGATTGGTTGGAGGCCTCGGCGCCGGCGGAACGCGACTGGACGGCTGAGTGCCGGCCGCCGGCCGCCTGGAGAACGGAGCGCTTCCGGTGCGTGTGGTGAGCGGCGGGCCGGGGTCGAGACGGGGGCTGGGGCTCGGGAGCCGCTGGGAGCTCCGCGCAGGTCGCGCCGGTGTGGCGCGCCACTCGACTTGCAGGTTCCTTCCGAACGCGCAGGGTCGCGCTCCCTTCTGGGTCACCCTTCCCTCTCGCTCTTGACAGCTCGGCTGACTCCTGCTCACCCTTCAGAACCCACTTCTGGCCGCGTCTTGCTTGTCACCTGCCTTCGTCTGTGGCCTCAGGCGCAGATCGTGCTTGAAGTTTAACCTGCCCACGCCAGAGCCGACCAAGGCTGGGCAGGGTAGGTAATCAGGAGATGTGCGTTGAGTGAGATGCTATTTCTTTGGCTTACTCTGGGCTTCCACCTCCCCAGCGACCCCACCACCTGCTTTCCACAAGTATCTAGGTGCTGGGGTTGAACAGTGATGAAACACACGCAAAGAGCCAGCCCTCGGGACCTGCCCCGCAGTGACTGTCAGCGCCCGCCCCCGGCCATTGCCTCATTGCTCGGAGGTTTTTACCTTCCAGCTTCTGTGCTTCATCCTACCATTTGCCCAGCTCTCTCCTAGAAACATAAAAGGTGGAGGTTCCCCCCGGAGTTTATGTTGTGCCCACTGGCACCCTGTCTTCTCCGTGGCTGCCTGTTGATCTGGAATCATCCTGACCTGTCGTCCCATTCATTGGTTCTGTGGGTTTGGTCTTCAGTGCTTCGCCCCAGCTGGGCTCCCGCACTACCCCCCAGAACATCACCCAGTTAGCACCCATGTGAAACTAGCCTGAAGCCCACCAGCACCTTACCCCACATGCTTGCTCTCCTGTGACTGTCTCTCCCATGAGCACAGGAGCCTGGTGCTCTGTGGGCATCGTCTGGTCAGGGCCGCTGCAGTGCTGCTGCTGCCTGACACTCCAGGCTTGGCGACTGGCTTATGCCCCATCGGTGGTTGTTGCTTGAGTAAACGAAATGTGCATGACGCACTGTATGGGTGACTGTCACCCTCCTGCATTCATTCGGTCCTAGCTGCCTTGCCTGACCAGGGAGTGGGCCAGTGGGCCCGACCCTACTGCTGTCTGATCTTTGGCCACAGTCCTTGTCTTTAGTTCTGGCCATTGGCCTCTCCTGTGGGTCATCCACTGTGGACGGCTGGCTGGGTGGGAACCGCTCTTCACGGCAAGGTACAGGTGCCCTGGTGGTGGGATCTTGGCGGGCTCCTTTGAGAGGAAGGAATGAGATGGCTGGTGCTGTGCTTAGGCGTGGGGACGGGTGAGATGTGTGATCAGGATGGGCTTTGGAGACAGGCCAGGTGTTTACAGACAGAAGTGGGGCTTATTCCCTGTGCACAGTTGCAGTAGGTTATATGGCCCGTCATATTAGTCTGCTTGAGCCTGGCTGGCTGTAGAGAAGGTCTGTGTAGATGATAACTTAAAAAAAAATCTTTGCATGCAAGAACTGGGGTGTAAGCCAGAGGTGCAGGGGATGAAAGGATTCACCAGAGAGTGGGGCGCAGAGCAGGCAGATCTACTGAAATCCATTGCTGAGGGGAGCAGCGGAGATATAGGAGAGGTCTGCCACGTGGGTCAGCTCTCTTGCTAGGACCCAACTCAGGCTATTGAGATAATGGTGCTGAGACTTAACCCCTAGGCCACCAGGGAGGCCCGTGGATGATAACTTGTCCGGGGGCGGGGGGCTAGTTTGGGGGAGGATGTCACCTGCCTGGACTAGGCTGTGCACGGAGCGGCTTACGGCAGGAGGCCGATGTCAGCCACTTCTTGCATGACAGCCCAACTTGGGTGGCAGAGGAGCCTCTTCTGGGCAAAGGTGTGGCAAGGCTGGGAGTTAATTCCAAGGAGAGGTGGGTGGAAAGCTGTCTGAGCTGTCTGGAATGGTTTAATCGAGGGCCCAGTGGGAAGCTTCTGGTGCTGCTCTGACCCCAGCCAGAAGTGGAAGTTAGGGAGGTTTATTAAGAAAGGAGGGCCCCCAGCTTCCTCAGAAGCTGGCCAGCAGCCTAGTCTTTCTTAGGTGGTGCTCCGCCGCGCCCTCTGCTGTCGGGGCCGTGTCCGGCAGGCTTACTTTCCTCCTGACCGCTCTGGTGTTAAGACTTGAACTCCAGACTGAAGCACTTTCTGGATCCTAGTTGGCAACAACTTGTCGTGGATGATGGTTCAGAATTCGGGAAGAATTCTTTTTCAAGAAAGGGGAAATTCACTGCTGTGTGAGTGGATTGAAACGGGCAGATTTGGGGCACGCCTTCAGAACTGGGGGCCTGGTGTCGCAGGCACCTTGGCCTTGCGTTGCCCAGAGTGGCCTGTCTCTTCGACTGCGTGCGTCGAGATGGCTGTCTGGGGAGAAGGCACCGGCATCGAAGGCAGGCCTGGAGGGCAAGGGGAGAAGTGGGGTCGGCCTGCTTCTCCCACTTGGTGGATTCTGACCTTGTTCCTTGCAGTACCTTCAGCCCCAACCCCATTCAGGCCGGGGCACATGGGCTCCTCTCACTCATGCTAAGAAACGGCACTTTCCTCTCCTGTCTTTGCAAACATGCTAGTGTCTGTGTAGGACCGAGCTCTCCCGTGGCGTTGTTGCAATAAAAACTACCTTTTGAATGTGCAATAGTTACTGCCCAGATTGACCTTCCAAAGGGCTTTTTAAAATGCCCGTGGGGGTGGGGGAAAATAAAATCCCTATAAACTCCATCTCCAGGGCCCTCCCTGGTGGCATAGCGGGTTAAAGCGCAGTGCTGTGAAGCTGTCTGCAGCTGCCAGGGAGAAACCCACAGGGCGCAGCAGACCTCTCCTGTCTCCCTGCTGCTCCCCTCAGCACTGGGTTTCAGCAGTGTTCTGTCTCCCGCTTTGTCTCTGGTGAGTCCTCTCACCCCGCATCCCCCCATACCTCTGGCCTTACCCCAGTACTTGTATGCATTAAAAAAAAAAAAAAAAACTTAAGGAAAAAAGGAGTCTTTAAAAATAGTCAATCTCCAGTCAGTCAGATCCTCATCTTGGTCTTCCGACCAAGTTTCCGTTTCCTCTGGTGGGTCTGGCTTACTTTACTGTCACCTTTCTCCTCAGAGCCTCGCAGTCCTCACGTCTGATAGTCACGTCTGACTAGCGGGCCCGTGCTTAGGAAAGCCCTCTTTTTGCGTGTCTCCCTCGCAGGCCTTGGGCCTCCTTGGTGTTCCGTCGCGTGGCGTGGCATGGTGTGGCGAGGCAACCGCTCCCCGAGGCGCTTCTGACGTGGGCTCTGCTTGTCGTAGGTGGCTCGCCGGAAAGTGGCCGCCATGGCTTCCTTAGTGGCGTATGAGGATTCGGACTCGGAGGCCGAGCCCCAGCCTGCGCCTACGGGAGGTTCCGATGCTGTTGGCCGGATGACTGAGGCAGGGGAGGGGGTGCGGCCTCGCGGGCAGGATCCTGCAGCTGGTGTCCTGGACGAGACGCCCGCGGGGGCACAGCCCATGAAGCCTGCGCCCTGTGGGGCCCCTGACGGCCGTGATCTTCGCCTCCCGTCGGCTCGCCTGGGGAGGAGCGATGCAGGGTCCTGCCCCAGCCGGAGGCTGCAGTGGCCCAGGATGGAGCCTGAGCCCGTCCTCTCCCCCCACGAGCCTGCCCGCCCGTCCCTGGGGGCTGGCTACCCTCCACCTGGCCTCGGGCCCCCCGTGGCGGCCTGCTTTAAGCCTGTCAGACTCTCCCGGGAGATGGAGCCTTCGCTCTGCGCTCAAACCAAATCTGAACCCCCAGGGAAACACGTCAGCTCCTCTCAGAGGAAGAGGTGTGAGGACTGCATCGTGCCCTACACCCCCAAAAGACTAAGGCGGCTACCAGCACTCAGCATGGAGACGGGCAAGAGGCAAGAGGCCGAGGCCCAGGGCCCCTCTGCAGGGCGCGTGCGGGCCCCGGCCCCCCTCTCCGTGCCCCCCAGAGCGTCAGCGTTTATCCAGCCGTATCTGGACAGTCCGTATAAGGAAACTGTGATCTCCAAGAGGGTGCTTTTCCACTTACGGGGCCACCGGGGCCCCATCAACAGCATTCAGTGGTGTCCCGTCCTTTCTAAGAGTCACATGCTTCTCTCAACTTCCATGGACAAGACCTTCAAGGTAAGAACGGCGGGACCCTTCGGTGCTCTTTGGACAAGCTGCCGGTGGTTTTTCAAAGCAGTGAGCCGAACGCTGCTTTCTGGGCGCTGCCTTTCTCGGCTGCATTCAGGAGTGGGTTCTCGGTGGCCTGCCCCGTCTCCCCCCAGCCATCTGGGCCACCAGAGGATGCTGATTCTTAGGGTGCTGGTACTTATCCTTGTGGGGCTCTGAGGGCTCACTGAGGCCCCAGGAGCGTGAGGTCACCCGCCGGGCTCTGAGGAGTGGAAGGGGCTGCCCTGGCTGTGCCGCTGAGCTGGCAGCAGCCCTGTGCCCGCGCTGCGTGGATGTGGGGGTCAGCAGCAGATTGAGCTGGCCTGGCTGCTGGATTTTCACAGCCCAGGAGGCCTCACAGCCCTGGCCCGGGACGGTCCTCCGGCCGAGTCTGGGGCGGTGAGGGGCCGAGTGCGGCTGGGGGTGCCTGCCCGGCCCCGGAGTCTGTGTGCGGTCCTCGGCCAGCAGGCCTGTGTGCTTGCCTTTCCTCCCCGGCCCCTCCCTCCCTGTCCTCCCTCCGAGGAGAGCGGACTGGCCCAGGCCCTGTCGGAAGCCATCCTCTCTGTGAGTGTCCCAGAGGGCCCAGTCGCAGAGGGGTGTCGGGCTCCGGCTCCTCCAGGGCCAGCTCCTGTGTGGGGAAGTGGGGTGGGCCGAACCCCCCGGGTCTCCTCCTGGGGAGCCCACCTGCCAGCAGTGAATCCGTACCGCCAGCCTCTCACGGTGCTGGCCCTGGGCCATGGCACAGCTGGACACGGGCCACTCCGTGCCCAACACTTTGTGACCTTGGGCGAGGCCTTCGCCTCTCAGAACCCGCCCCCTCCTCGCCGAAAACAGCTGAGATGACCTACAGCTGGGGCCCGTGCCAGGTGCTGCATGTCAAAGCACCCCATCTTGTGCAGCCATCGGGGGGCTTGTGGAGGGCACCTGAGGGTTGCTGCAGACCTCTCTTGGACCTGAGGGGTCCTGACCTCAGTGGCTACAGGGCCAGTAGCTCTCAGGAGGACGGGCTGGGTGCAGTGGGCAGCGAAGGGGGAGGACGTGGGCCTCCCGATGTGCCCTGCTAGAGCCTGTTGCAACCCCAGTGGCGAGGGGAGGCCCAGAGCCCCTGGTGACTGGCTTGCATCTGGCCTCAGTGCGGTGCGCTCTGGGCCTCCCTTGGGTCACTTTTGCCTGGGAACCTTAGAAGCCTCCATGAGAGGTTCACCTGAGTGAACCCGCGGACCTGGGCTCGGTGCTCATCCATTTGTCCAGTCGTGCAGTGTTTGGGGGCTGGTGGGTGGTGGGGGTGGGGAAAATATGGGTGTTCCTCCTGGGCACTGGGCTCTGGAACCGTGACGCGTTGTGGCCAGAAGAGGGCGCAGTGGTCCCAGCCTGGGAGAGAGGCCCAGCAGAGTGGTCCTTGGAAAACCCTGCCAGGGCGGGTGGGCTGGTGCCCAGGGGGTCCTTGAGGCTGCCCGCAGCCCCGGGGAGTCCTGACCACTGTGCTCCGACCCCGGGTGGGCTGCAGGGGGCATTGGAGGTGGCCTTTGGGGCTGCCGGGCCAGCACGTCCTGACCCCTCTCACTGTGGCATCCTGAAAAGCAGGCCTCTGCAAGCCCAGGTGCAGTCAGGTGCTCCAGAGCCCCCTGGCTTGAAGAGATGTGACAGATTTCAGTGACAGTGATTTGGGGAATTGGGTTTGGGTTCACTCACTCTGAGCAGCCGTTCAGTGTGAAAAAGTGTGTGGCAGGGCTTGAAGGAGCAGGATGGGAAGAGATTGGGGCTGGGTGGGGACCTCGCTGGTGCCGGGGAGTGAAGTCCTGACTGAGGCCCAGGGCATGTGGGCCTCAGGTCTGGGTGCTGCCAGCAGCTGCCTGGCAGCTGGTGGTGTTCATTCTGCTTCCTGGAGTCAGAGTGGACAGTGGGGGCGGGCTGGGGTCTCCTGACTGGGTGTGCAGTGTGGCAGATGGTGAGTTGAGTGAGTGGGGGCGGGGCCTCAGACTGGCGGCAGACCCTGCTTGCCTTGCCCCGGAGGAGAGAGCAGGTACGGTGCAGTGTAGAATGAGCTAGAAGAGGTGGAGGGGCAGGCACCCCCCCCCCACTCTCTGCGCCCTCGTCTTTTGATTAAAGCCCCCCCAGGATGCTTTTTTCGCCGCCCACTGAGTAGGGAGGAGAGAAGTGGTCAGGAGGCCCCAGGTTGATCTTCACTTTGCTGCTGGCAGGCTGTGTGACCTTAGGACAGTGCCTGAACGCCCCTGAGCCTCAACCTGTGCATATGAAGCACGATAACTACGTGTCCCTTGCTGGGCTTTCTTTGAAAGATTTATCTTTATTTCTGCGTACAGAATTGGGGTATAGGCCAGCGTTGCGGGGGATAAGAGGACTCCCCAGAGACAGAATGGGGAGCAGAACAGGCGGATCCACTGAAACCCACCGCCCAGGGGAGCAGCGGGGAGACCCCCAGCAGCGCCCTGGGGGTCGCGCCCTGGGGGTGGTGGGGGGCGTCTCGCGCGGGCTGAGGAGGCCCTGGTTGGGCTTTCTTGAAAAACAAATGCTGTGGGACGGCCGCGGCCCGTGCAGGGCGGGCGCTAGGGGGCGCTACAGTGCGCTCACCGTCTCGCGCTCCCGGGGTGGTTCTCCCTTCCGCGGCCGGCGGTGGCGGCGCCTTCCATCTGCTGCTTCACTGTGCAGATGTTAATCTCTCTGAGCACAGGGGTGGTGCCAGACCCAGTTTAATAGTCTCTGTTGCACCTGGCATGAAATTCTGTACCTGTTACGTGATCGATTAGGATTAAAGCCTTTTGTCGGATTTTATTTCCCATCCTTCGGAAAGGATGTTTTTACGTGCATAAATCCTAATTGCCACTAGGGGGCGCAGTAAGACCGCTCACCCAAACCTTCCAGCCTGTGGGCGCATCCTTGATTCAAGGTAACATTTGCAGAAAGATGATTTCTTTTCTGATCAGGAGAAAAACAGCACCATCCATCTGATTAATCTAAGGGAGTGGCGTACCAGTTCTTTCCTCTCCTTAAAGCTAGCCTTGGAATTAATAAATTTCAATCGGGCACATCAGAGTGGAAAGATGCCTATTTTAATATATTCTAAATGTTATGTCAGCTGTAAAATATGCTTATATTAGTTTTGAAAATTTTACAGCCAGCGAAATTAAGTAAAAGAAAACAATGACTCATAATTCCGCCTCATGCCCCGCTCTTCCCACCGTCCCCTGCCACCTGGAGCCCGCTCTGTGTTCTAGTCGCCGCCCACGGCTGACCCCTTCAGTGCGTCTCACCTCCCGCTGCCCTTGCGTGGCCCACCGCGTTGAACGCCCACTGCACGTGACAGCCACCCTCAGAAACTGAGGCCCTTGTGAAGGGAAGGTCAGGGGTGTGGCCTGCTCTGTCCACCTGTTGCCCGCCTCAATGGGACCAGGTCCTTGCCGGCCCAGCGAAGCCAGAGGTGTGTGGCGTCTTTCTGGCTTCCAAAGTCCGCGGAAACCCTGGGGTTCTGGAACATGGGCCTCCCATAAAGTGTGTGTGGTAGGTGTTACTTGCTTTACCAAATAACCAGGATTTTTTTTTTTTTT